GTGACTCCTCAATGTCACTCTTTTATTTGCAAAAAGTGACTCCTTTTCTCGCTGGGAAAATCCTAAGCCAACTAGTAGGCCCAATATGTTTTTCTTGGTTATGCTAACTATGTTAGGGACAGGGCCATCTAGCAATGGAGCATGATGTGAGTGTTTACAAAGTTGTAAAGTCCATAGGAGAGAGCACTTGGTAAATTGCATCTATGTGCTGACTAGGAGGAAAAAGTTGCAAGTTTTTAGTTTTTACTGGTTACCCAATACCAATTGGTTATTAAAAAAAAAAAAAAATCACTTACATTAACTCTATGTGTCTCATCCCAGGGCCCTGAAGGTCATTGGATAAAGCACATCACTCATGAGCTCTGAAGTGTACTCAGAATGAGGCATCCAAGTTGCCAGGGCCACAGCCTGTTGAAGACAGGTAGCATCTCATTTTGAAACATCACTTTTAATGATGTTTAGATGCATGTATCTGTGGTCAGTTTGGAGAAGCACTAGAAAATGAGACTATAAAGGTTTTTGAAAATAACTTTGGACCAGCATGGTAGCTTATGCCTATGATCCCAGCACTTTGGGAGGCTGAGGTAGGAGGATCATTTGAGCCCAGGAGTTCGAGGCCAGCCTGGGCAACTTAGTGAGACCTTGTCTGTACAAAAAATAAAATTAGCTGGACATGATGGCATGGGCCTATAGTCCCAGCTACTTGGGAGGCTAAAGTGGGAGGATCTCTTGAGCCATGGAGGTCTAAGGCTGCGGTGAGGTGAGACTGCACCACTACACTCCAGCCTGGGCGACAGACTGAGACCATCTCAAAAAAGAAAAAAAAAAAAAAAAGGAAAGTAACTTTGAAGGCAAAAAGCAAAACAGTTATTGTAAAAGATATTCTTAGTGAAAAATTGTTTTAATGAAAGGCATTTTGGTGTAGTTGATTTTTTTTGAATATCTTTTTTCAATCCTAGGTATTGTTGATCTGATGATTTAGAAATGCTCATTCAGATTAGTTCAGCAAACATTTATTGGGCTCCTACCATGGGCTTGAGTCATTGGAGGTATAAAGATAAGATGAGCTCCTCGTATAAGACATATCTCAGGTAATTTTGATTAGAAATTACAAACATGATCTCCAGAAGAGTGCATGACCTCACCTGAAATACATGATTAATACCAAAGGAAAATAATAATATGTGCCTGTGCTGTCTTTTTACCTACCCCATCAGTCACAAGGATGGTTAGAATGTTCAATCAAAATCACTGGCACATGGCTGGGTGCAGTAACTCATGTCTGTAATTCCAGCTTTGGGAGGCCAAGGCGGGTGTTATTACCTGAGGTCAGGAGTTCAAGACCAGCCTGGCCAACATGGCAAAACCCCGTCTCTACTAAAAATACAAAAATTAGCCAGGCGTGGTGACAGGCACCTATAATCCCAGCTACTTGGGAGGCTGAGGCAGGAGAATTGCTTGAACCCCGGGGGTGGAGGTTGCAGTGAGCGGAAATCACGCCACTTCACTCCAGCTTGGGTGATCGAGCGAAACTCTGTCTCAAAAAAAAAAGAAAAGAAAAGAAAAGAAAGAAAATCACTGGCACAATAATGAAACGTATTTTTCATTATTGGCCAGTTAACTGTGACCATTTTTCTGAATGACACTTTGCAGGTGTGACTCAGAAGTGCTGGCCCAACACTCATCTGTGAGTGCTGATTCCAGGTGGAGAGTGAGTGAGTGGGTCCCATGCTCACCTTGGTCAGATTGGGGAGCCTAAATCTACCCA